ATGTGTGTATGGATTGGGATAACAGTTGTATGAGCCCCTAATAAAATGTTAAAAAAAAAAAAAAAGAAAGAAAATGACCGTCACTACTGTATGGCTAGGCCATGGCTGAAGGTTCATGGGAGAGCCACTGGCTGTCCCAGACCCCAGGGGGGCTGCACCCTAAGCAAGACTAGAGGGAGGCCACAGCAGCCGCCCCGTGGCCAAGTGGCAGCAGGAAGCTGTGGCCTCACCACTGGGTGCCAAAGAGCCTCTGAGTGATAACATCCTCAGTGACAATGCCCCCTCGAGCTGGCGGGGTGCTGGGACAGGTCGTCCAGGCATTGTTGGGAAGGAGGAAGCTGGGGTCCCGGAAGCAAGTGACCTTTGTGTCTCATAGCCCCAGCAGAGGTGCTGCGCCTCCTGCCCCTCTTCCCTGCGGGCCCACGCTCGCTCCCCGCCCTCGGCCAGCACTTACAGAAGGAACTGAACTCTCAGAAGGAACTGAATAGGCCAAGCGTGATTTCCGCCTCCAGCTGGCTTCTCAGATGCACTTCCGTCATCCGGCATGCTGCAGGCACACGCCGGGTTTAAAGACAGGCTCGGTTTTCATGAACTGCAGAAAGACCCTTGGTGTCGCGAGAGTGTCTACTGCCCCCAGCCTCACCCCCCAGCCGATTCCCCCAAGACCAGGCCTCGCAGTGGGGGCCATAAGAAGGTGCTTCAGCAACCCCTCAGCCTGGGATGACGGGGCCGATTGGTTGCCCCCAGTCCCCCAAGCAAAGACGCCCTGGTGGCACAGCAGTTAAGCACTCAGCTGCTAACTGACCTGTCAGCCGGTCAGACCCATCAGAGCCACTCCACGGCACAGTAGACCTGATGCCCCACCCCTGTGAAGCTCACCCGGCTCACCGGGACCCTACAGGACAGAGAAGAGCCGCTGCTTTGGGTTTCCAAGGCGATGGCTCTTTACAGGCACAGCCAGCCTCATCTTTCTCCCACGGAGCGGCTGGTGGGTTTGAACTGCTGACCTTGAGGTTAGCAGCCCAAGGAGGCCAGCAGGGCTCTATCCCATAAAGATCACAGCCTTGGAAGCCCCTCTGGGGTAGGTGTACTCCCTCCTTGGAGGGTTGCCTGAGTCAGGATCCACTTGATGGCAGACAACAACTACTCTCTAAGCAAGTTGGGGGGAGGGCAGGGGGCTGGCCTAGAAGCAGCCCTTATTTGGCTGCACTGGCGTCTCAGATAGCAAAGGCTGGAGAAGCCCCTGGGGCTTCCTTCTGGGGGCCTGAGAGCCATCTGGAAAGCGTGCTAACGAGCCTTCCCTCCCCAGCTGCCATTCTGGGTACGTGGGCGCCCGCTGTGAGCACGCAGACCTCCTGGCCGTGGTGGCTGCCAGCCAGAAGAAGCAGGCCATCACCGCCTTAGTGGTCGTCTCCCTCGTGGCCCTGGCTGTGCTCCTC